TCAACCGTTCAGATCATCGAAATGGGACCTGTGGTAGGCCTCATGGACCCAACAGTACCATTTAGTCCACAAAGTGGACTGGAGAGAATCCTTTCCCCATATTTAAAATGACCAAAAAGTACTTGACATTAAAAAAGGTGTAAATCAAAGTGTTTTGGACACCCTATTCATTATCAACACCAATATTTCTTTTCTCTCTCTTCTCCTCTTATACTCTCTTCACTTCGGATCTTCATACCTAACCCTATTTGCTTGAATCCATCATTCTTGTATTCTATTTCACATTGAAATCAACAATGGACAATAAACAAGATGTTTTCAAGCAATTTTCTATAGATAAAAGTAAGCTTTCATTTGATAGTTATTGTTTTTCGTTATTTGGTTTACGAAATTGGTTAGAAAATTCAGCACTGAACAAATTATGTTTATTCGGAAACTTATTTCTAAACAAAATTCATATATTCAGTAGCATGTTTCCGAAATAATGGTCATAGTTAAATATTTTATATCTGAACAAATTGTCTATGTTCGACTATGTTTTTCTAAACATTTAATTTTCTAATCTCTTCACACACCAATTTCGAACCAAAAAAAAAAACTATCCGGTATTACGTTCGGCACTGAGCATTCGAAGAAACTTTATAGGTTAAAACTTAAGTATCCGAATATATATATATAATTTGTTTACCACTGAGTATCCAGATAAAAATTGTGCAACCAATTTTCTATTTTTCGGAACTGAGTATCCGAACATATTTCATTTGTTCGGCACTAAATATCCGAAGAAACTTCATAATTTCGGTATTAAGTTTCCGGACATATGGTAGGTATTGAACTTGAGGTGTAGAAAGTAGAATTTCTAAATATTTTTTATATATATTTTATTTTTTAAGGGTTATAATAGGTATTATTTGGGGTGTCTAAACAAATAAATAAATATGTAAATTTTAAATTAGGGTGTTCCAAGTAATGGGGCGCCCAACCTAATTTTTGTGGTGCATTTAGAATTACCCTTTTTTAGATAAGCGCTGTGAAAGAAATATTTATTGAAGCAACACTTAAATACGTGCAATGAAGAAGAGGTTGGTGGTTCAACACATAAACGTTTTGAATTATTAACTAATTCTTAGCATATAATAAGCATTGTGGGAGAAGTATTTCATGAAGGAAAAAAAATAAAAAAAATTCTAAGAAGCCTTTATTTATTTATTTATTTATTTTATAGTTGAAAGTTTTGAATTATTAAGTAGATCTGAGAATATAATCGATTATATTATTGTTTTAAGCATTTTATTAGTTGATAAAACATACTAATTAAAAAGCTAGCAAATCATTTGAATTTTAAAATTGACAGATGAAGTGATATGTACTAGTTATATTAATAAAATTAACTTGGTAAAATTGATAGTATTAACTAACATAAGGGCACTACAAGAAAATGCATTTTTGCCAACCATTTTTGGCTACCAAAAACAATTTAGTCGCCAAAAGTCACGGAATTGGCTACCAAAAATAATATTAGTCGGCAAAAGTCAACTTTTTAGCTACTATTTTTTTTTAGTAGGGGAATGTTGATTATTGGCGACTAAAAAAACTTTAGTAGCTAAAAATATTACAATTGGCGTCTAAAAAAATTTTTAGTAGCTAAACATATCACAATTGGCGACTAAAAGAAAATTTAGTAGCCGTAGAGGTACCTTTAGCTACTAAATTGTTTGGTAGCCGAATGAAAATAAAAAAATTAATTTTTAATCTTTGCCGACCAAAATTTGGTCGCCAAATGTTAAGTTTCGGCGACAAAATTCCTTTTAGTCGCTATAGACCTACTTTTGGCTACTAAATTGTTTGGTAGCTGAATGAAAATAAAAAAAATTAATTTTTAATCTTTGCCGACCAAAATTTTGGTCGCCATATGTTAAGTTTCGGCGACAAAATTCCTTTTAGTCGCTATAGACCTACTTTTGGCTACTAAATTTTTTGATAGCCGAATGAAAATAAAAAAATTAACAAAATAGTTATTTTATTTTATTTTATTAACAACAATACCATTAGTCTCCACTTGAAAATTTGACTAAACAAAATAGTTATTTTTATTTTTATTTTTATTTTTATTTTTATGAAGATGTTGTACACCCACCATCCAAAAGTATTAATATCTTATTTTATTTTTTATTATCTCAAAATATTAATTTTTTTTAAAAATTAATTATTAAAATAATATGAATTTCTTATTTTGTCCTTTTTTTTAAATCCATTAATAATACAAAAAGTACAATTATGACAATTGATATTTCTACAAAAATATACTATCAAAAGGTAATTTTGATAAATTAATATTTTTAAAATGTAATAATTGTATTATAAAAAGAAATTAAATTCTAAAATGGGCAACTTGTTATTGTCTGTTTGCCAATAGTTTTACATTGCAAAAATTTAAAGGCATAGTTACAGGTCAGTCTAATGAATTTAATTTTTAATAATAAATTTATTATTTTTAAAAAGTACAATTAAACTATTTACACTTTTTACATCATCATATTTCAATAACACTAATAAATTAAGAATAAATCAAAATTCACAAATAAAAGACAAAATATCCCAATTATTTATCATTTTAATAAATTTTTCAATATTATTACCAGTACTACTGAAATAATCATTTCACAGACACAAAACATATATTTAAAAAGTTTTAAAAAAATTTCATTATCAAAACGAGGGCTAAGTGTGTAAAAAATATTCACTCATGACTTATGAGTAAATAAATCTGATTTGTAAGACTTATTGATATTATTTCAGATTTTAAAATTTTTCTTAATTTTTTAATAATTAATTTTTTCAACTTTTTTAAATTATTTTTACGTTATACACGGTTAACAATAATCAAACACTATTGTTAATTTAAATTTGGAGGGAGACATTTCTAATTTAAATTTGAGGGATTTATAAAAGTAATTGGCGACTAAAAAAACACGGGTTGAGCTAGCTCAGAATTTTTTTTATAAAATTTTTTCCTTCTTTTTTTTTTTAATTTTCTTTCTTTCTTTTCTTTCTTATTATATATATATATATATATATATAAGAATATAAGAATATAAATGCAAATATATATATATATATATATATATATTGTGGCTTTAAGACAGCTTCATATATATATGGTCATAAAATGGTTTAAATAAATGCAACGGTATTTTTCTGTTACAAAAAATAAATAAAAAAATAAAAACGACGTTGTTTTACTCTTTCGAACATTTCTCTTTTCACCAATTTTTTCATCTTTCTATCTCTCTGTCTCTGTCTCTCTTCTCTTTCTCTTTCTCACTCATAACTCTTCTCTGTCTATCTGTCTGTCTATCTGTCTCTCTCTTTCTCTATGTGTCTCTGTCTTTGTCTCTCTTATCTCCCTTTCTCTCACTCATCACTCTTCTTTGTCTGTCTGTCTCTTTCTTTCTCTCTATGTCTCTGTCTCTCTTCTCTTTCTCTCTCTCACTCATCAAGTCACTGCTCAAAGTACATTACACATACTTGAGACCCACGAGGGTGCCTCTCTTTTATAGCCATTAATGCCCAAATCCCCTAGACGCCTCACTTCAGAGGGCTCAAGCACATAATGCTTACCTTGGACTCTTAGCTATATAGGGAAAAACTCCCTAAGAGTTTTATCTTTATCCAAGCTAAAGTCCTCTTTCGTCTAGAATTCTTGTCCCTTATCCACTTATCTCGGATTTCGGCATCTCCGCAAATAACCTCGGCTTAGCTGAGATTATCTCGGCAAGCATGATCAAACCACGTGGCACCTCAACTGACATTTAGGCGTCACTTTAGCCACGTGCTATCACTTACCCAGCTAACCCATTTTAAATTCTGACTAACCCTAATTTCACTCTATCTCTCTCACACCACTACAACAAAAGTAACATATAGTAACAAAAATTTTAGTAGCTAAAAGATTTGAGAATGAGAGAAAGAAACTATTGGCGACTAATACTTTAGTGGCGGAAACATACCTTTTGCCGACTAAACTAAGATTAGTAGCCAAATGTGTACTTTCGACGACCAATTATTTAGTAGCTAAAAGTGATACCTTCCTCGACCACAACAAGTTAGTAGCCAAAAAGCTTCATTCGGCGACTAATACTTTAGTGGCGGAAACATACCTTTTGCCGACTAAACTAAGATTAGTAGCCAAATGTGTACACTTTCGGCGACCAAACAAATTTTAGTCGCCAATACTATCGCCGACAGGGTAAAGGCGACGAGCTTAGCGACAAAAGATTTTGGTCGCTAAATCGTTTTGGCGACTAAATAAGTGACTTTTGGCGACCAATATTTTGGTAGCCAAAAGTGACATTTCTTGTAGTGGGGGTAATTAGTCAAAACTTTATTATAAATATTCATGTTATGAATATTGATAAAATGTAAGGAGTAATAAATAATTTTCAAAAATTTGGAGCGTTCCATACCTTTATAGTTTCGCCCCTACTCATGCAACAATTATTATTATTTTCAAAAAAATGCAACAACTTATAACCAAATCAAACATAACTAAAAATTTTATTAATCGTAACTAAAATAATAACGACAATAAGTTATAATCAAGTCATAAGTAAGCATTATAATCAAATACCACGTTCGACATGATTAAAATCTCTTTGGTCATTAACAAAATAAAATTATAAGAGATCATAATTAATACCATAATAAATTATGACTAAAATATACTCAATATCATAATAAGACAAAGGTCATGATTGAGAATATGGCATACACCAAAAAAAAGAAAAAGATTTATATTATGAAATTTCCCAAATCTTCTTACTTTGAATATATATCAAATGCGATCTAAACTAAATAACAAATAACAAGTGAGAATGAATTATACCTTTAAAGTTGTTACCACCAAGATATAAAATCTGAAGCAAAGTCAAATTCCCAATTGCCTTTGGAATGAAACCAATTAATTTATTGTAAGACAATGATATGATTTGGAGCTCTCTTCATTCACCTAGAGTTGATGGAATTTGGCCATCAAACTCATTCTCGGAAAGAGCAAGAATTTCAAGTTTAGGAAGAAAAACACACAAATCCTCCGGAAGACTACCAGGAATCATATTATATGTGAAATCAATCAATTCAAGTGACGAGATGTTGAAGATGGTTGGCAGTATAGGCCCCAACAAATTATTATATCCCATGCGTAACATCTTCAGTTTAGGAAGATGACCGATCTCTTTAGGAACTCTTCGCTCTAGAAAATTGGACCTTAAATTGAGAGATTCTAATGTTGATATGTTGCCAATGGAAGGTGGAACTGAACCCGTGAAACTGTTGTTTGCGAGACGCAAGTATTGAAGCTTGGGTAAGTTTCCAAACCATGACGGAACACCTCCACTGAAGTTGTTGTCACCAAAGTCGACTGCATTTAGGCGATGCAATCGAGCCATCTCACCGGAAATATGACCATGGAAAGTGTTGTTCGCAATGTTGAAGTAGGATAGAAATGAGAGGTTTATTGGTTGGGTAGAAGGCAATTGAAGGTCCAGTTTCATGGCCCTATCTAGTATGTTTGTCATGTGTTATATATTCTGAAGTGCTGGTCTGTTCGACCATTTGGGGAGGATCTGATGGGATAGGTGCATCCATTACATTATCCTGTTGGGTAGGTATTTCTACCTCTCTTTCCACACCCTCTTCCAGACATTCATTTTCTCCTCTTGCTTTACGTCTAGCTATTTTTAATAGTCCCACTCGGCATGCAAAAAATATATGTTGGCTTTTCTGGCTTTCGAGGGTTGATAATGTAAATTTTAAAAGTGCCAGCAAGGATCAATCAGTTCTTATAGAATTTTAATGACCAACCAATTATTAGACGATTGTGTTAAAGTTCTTTCAACCTCAATGAAGAGGACTTTTACTGGTGGCTTGTTTTTGGAGAAATTGATAAGAAATAACAAATACAGAACAATTCAAAAATTGAATTTCATTAAGTAAATAGGAACTTACATTGAAATGATCCAACCTTGAAAAGGTTTACAACAATGACTACTTGAAACTATTCCTAGGAAATGAAGTGCAGTAAAGGAATTGAAGTGCTAAAAATGTAAAGAACTGGAAATGTAAAAACTGGAAAGAAATATGAAGTAATAAACTAATTTCTGGATCTGAGTCTAGGTCTTTCATTCTAGGGCCTTCTCCTCTATTTATACTTCCCAATGGTAACTGTCGAAGTAGGCTTCCAGCCATCGAAATGCACTTCCACGATCTCTGGTTATGGCCTTGAACAATCTACTTCCACGATGCCTTTTTTGCAGTTGGGCTTTCCTCTTTAATTTGAATTTGAATTGTGAGAAACCATTGAGCTGCGCCACTTCACGCCTTCTAACTGCTTCCATGCGATGCAGACCTACCATTACCAATATGAACTGCCACATGTCTGTCATTGGTTGGAGACTTGCATTAACTCCCTAAATTACCCTTTTTGAGCCACATGTTAAGCTATGATTGGCCTGTACAAAATATGTAGCCAACAACCACCATACACATCACACCCTATACACAGTTCACCCTCACCTTCAACATAACTACATATCGGTGGTGATGACACACGGACGAAATAATCGCTGACATTGAAAATCTTGGATTCTAACCACCGGATTTATGATTCTCACCTTTGAACCTCACTAAGATTAGTTTTTCCCATCTGTTTTTTATTTGTTTAGCAATTCATCTTTCATATCAGCTTCTATTTCGAATATGGCTCGACACTGGTTGTCTGAATATATTATTATTCTGCAACAAAATAAAATTGAACAAATTAAATATGCTTGAAATATTTATGTTGTTTCATACTTTTTATACTAGATAACTCAACTCGTTCGGACTTATCATGCTCAGTTTTTTACGTGTGAACATTTAATATTTGGTTAACCTTATTAATTTGAACAAATAGTTTTGTTCACATATAAATATTTGAACATTGTGTAAATGTTTAACTCTAGTTAATTCAAACGCATAATGAACAAAACCATCCTTCTAGCAATTTTACAAACGAGAAAAACAAAAAATAAAATAAAATTACTTTTGTAAGTAGTAAATTACCGTTTTCATTGATGAATTGTTCTAAAGCAACATTCTGAGTGTCATCCATGGTGTACAAATCTGTAAAACTAATTGATTCTAAGTTGAGGATAAAAGAATAATGGAGAAGAGAATAAGGTGAACTAATTGATAATGAATAATATCATCAGTGTAATTGTAATGACCCCATCACGTATAATGATTAACACTTAATTAATTAAGGAGATTTGGATTTAAAGTGCCAATTATTCTAATTTAATCTGAGATCCATGAAAATTATAGAGACTGATTCGTATGTGATTCTGTTGAGGATTTATTTTGGAATTAGAAATTGAAAGCCTAAATGGCTCAAGAAAGTGCAAATAGTGAATTGAATTATTTAAATTTTGAGTATCGAACCATATGAGAGTTTAATTAAATATTCAATTCAGATTTATAAAATTAAGATTTGATTAATTGGGTTCGAATTGGAGTTAATTAAGCTAAGAGGATTGGGAATTTAGATTATTACGAATTAAATTCATTTATGTGGTGCCTAATTCAAATATGTAATTTAATGACGAAATTTTGAGTCTGATCAGAAATTGAAGGCTTAAATGATTTAAGAAACCAAATATTGATGATGATAATAACTTCAATTTAATATTTGGAATCTCCTTTTTTTATTTTGGGACATTGATCGAAGTGGTAACATAATGGTAAAGTAGGAGTGAACCAAGAATTTAATTCGGATAATTTTTTTCTACGAACAGCTGTCACTCTTTTGCCCTTTTCTTTTTCCACACTTTGAATTTGTGTGTAACGCTAGAACCATTGGAAAGCTTATTTCCGGGGCTTCAATTTGGACATAAGAACGACCTAGAACGGAGTTCGGATGAGAGAGTTATGCCCATTTGAAGTTTTGGAATCTGTGCTGGAAGCAGGTACGCTCGAACGGGAAAAGAGACGCTCGAGCGGACTGCGCGAATTCAGCAAGTTTAAAGGAACTTTTCTAGATCATTCTTCATACTTTCATCTCCTCTCTTCATCCCTCTCACCCTAGGTCCGAAAACCCTAGGTTTTTTACCTCAAATACCTTCCATTTCCCTAAGAATTGGCCATGATCTCTTACCAAAAAGTGAAGAAGGCTTGAAACTCAACATTTTCAACCGATTGGAATTTGGATTTGCAAAGGATTTTTCTCAAAGTTTTGCTCTCTTGTTTGATTCTTGAGGTAAGGGTCTTAGTTCTTCTTCAATACTTGCATTAATAGATAGATTTGTGGTAGTTCTTCTTCAATACTTGCATTAATAGATAGATTTGTGGTATTTTGATTATATAAATGCAAAATCTACATTTTTGAGCGTGTAGTGTTATATCATGAAAATTGGAAGTTTAGAGTTTGAAGTGTTAGGATTCAATTGTTGGGATAAGATTATGGATTATGAATAATCAATGGAAAAATTGGAATAAAAAGAAGTGGTGTGAGAAGCTTAATTTTTCTTGGAAGTCTTGATTTTTCTTGAAAACCCTAAGTTAATTCATAATGATAATTAATGATTTCGCCCAAATTGAAAGTAAAATCATGAAATTGATAGGTTGAATTATATATATATACAAGTTTAATTGGATTTTGGAAGTGTTTGAAAATTATGTTAAAAATTAGCGATTGAACCTTTATCATGGGTATTGTAAATTTACATGCATCATAGATTTCTTGAGATTGAGAAGGATTTGGGATTAAATTTATGCAATTAGGACGAAATTTGGTTTCGAACATAAAATAAGTTATATGCATGTTCATGATTATGGAAGCTAATTATTTTGGATTTGCTTTTAAATATCTTACGTGAGTTTGAGTCTAGTTCTTACATGCATAAACAAATTCTACAAATTTTGATATTCTAATAGTACATTTGATTTTGAAAAAGAAGTTTAGAAAACCATAAGTTCATGGGTTTTGATTTTGAAATTAAGTAAGGTTTTGATTTAAATAAATAAACTTCATGTTTCAAGATTTTGAGCAAATAATTTATGAATAAATAAGTGTTTATATTTTCTAAGGCATTTTCACGGTTTTGATCAAGATATGCATGGATTTAAAAAGAATTGAAAATGCGTTTGGAAGCCATTTTTGATAAGTTCGAAATTTTGGAATTTTACAGACCGCTCGAGCTGACTAATTGCCGCTCGAGCGCAAATTGAGGCTTCCAGTACTTTTTATAGTCTTTTACAAGCCGCTCGAGCGACTAAAGGCTCGCTCGAGCGAACAACTATTCTCAGCATATTTTGGAAAGTTACATTTAGTTCATATTTTTATTCTCATCTCTTCCCAAAGCATTCTAGACATGATTTATGACTCAATAAAGATTAATAAGCTACCAAACAACATAAATTAGTTGATTAAAAAATAAGACATTAACTTAGTGATACTTGATTAAGAAGCCAAGTGAGAAATTGGTTTATTCAGAAAAGAATGATTTAGTAATAAAAGGGATTTGTGAAATGAGAACCCGATTCATTTTACTAAAGAAAGAACAAGCGTAATGGGCCTTCGAATTATTTAGACAGAAAACAAGAAAGTCAAGTTTGATCGAGGGAGTAATATTGTGCTTCAATGTGTATATGTTATGTGTTTATGTAGGTCACGCGCTATTGTCTGCTTGAACTGTCTGATCTGCTTCTGCTACTATCTGTGAGTAATAACTTAGTAAAGTTATATTCAACTTTATTTATTTTTTGTATGATGAATTAAGATCTGTTTTCTGAAATGATATGTTCTGTACAATGAATTATTGTCCCATTTCTGACATGTATTCATGGCATCCTTACCAACATGTGATATCTGTTAGCTGTTACCCGATATCGGAGGTCCCATTATGGGACTTATTATGTCTGTCATCTGTTACCCGTACCAGAGGCTCCATCATGGAGCTCAGCATGTATATTCTCTGTCACCCGGTATCGGAGGTTTCATTATGGAACTTATTATGTCTGTCATCTGTTACCCATACCGGAGGCTCTATCATGGAGCTCAGCATGAATATTCTCTGTTAACCGGTATCGGAGGTTCCATTATGGAGCTTATTATGTCTGCTATCTGTTACCCGTACCGGAGGCTCCATCATGGAGCTCAACATGTTTATTCTCTATTACTTGAATCTAGAGGTTCCTTTATGGAACTGGTTATTCATAACCACCATATGTTCTGCATCTATTTTGTATCTATTCTGTTAGCACTAATGGATGTACCACGTATGATTAAGCATGAATTATGATTTCTATATATGATCTGAACACGAATATGAACTTGAATCTGTTATGAATCTGAATCATGATCTCTAAATCTGTATGGACTTCATTCATTAAAACCCTTTACTCTGTTATTATTCATTGGGCTCTAGCTCACTGTATTATTTATGTATGTAGGTAATCAGGCACGTGACCAGGCTTAGAGACATTTGCCTGGAATCTGTTTTTGTCAGCCAACCTATGTGCCTCCCGTGGAGGTTTCGGATATGTCAAGTGACTATGGCTATGTGATTTAAAGTTTAAGTTTTGTTTTCTTGTTTGGTTAACCAAGTCTTGTGTATTTTGTAAATGAGGCTAAGTCCCCTTTTTGTCTAATTTGTATATGTATATAATGACGTAATGATGATGTATATATATATATAAAAAGTTTAAAATTTTTTTGTCTCATATAAGTCTGCACAGCTCAATGGATGCTGTATATTTGTTATCTTCTTCTGCTAGCCCCTAATATTATGTTAATTTGTCTCAAAGGCCTTCGGTAATCCCAAGATTACTGACCGGTTATGATGCTAAACCTATAGGGGTGGGTTTGGGTCGTGACAGTAATGTGTTAGATTATAATGGAGAAGATGATGAGTGTTGGATGATGATAAAAAATACACCATTTATATGTCCATACGTGATGGAATGCAAAGAGTGTTTTGTGTTTTAATGTATGAATTCCTTGGATTAGTATAATGCAGAGCATTATTGTCGTTAATAGTAATTTAATTTGAGGATATTATTGTAATATAAATTTAATATTTTAATGATGTGTACTAAGACAATTTATGGTGTGTAATAGAATTACAGAATACTAAAGGGTAATTACCTCCCATTAAGTAGACTTTCATTAAATCCTATTTACTTTTTGAATGTACCAATAAGTCCTAGAATGCCTATACTTGTCACGTTATTTCATCTTCTCTCTATCTCTATCTCTCGACCATTTTTTCAAAAGCTTCACACCACCATTGTTTACCATAGCCGTCCACCCACTATCACCGCTGCCACCACCATCACCACCATCATCGCCGTCCACTCATCATCTTCTCTTATCTCTCTATCTCTCTCTACTATTTTTCCAAAAGCTTCATACCACTATTGTTTACCACCACTGCCGTTGTCACCGTCCACCTGCCACCACCGCCGACCCCCATCACCACTATCGTTATTCGAATACCGCTACCGTTCACCAACTCTCTTCACTATCGTTGCAGATCTACACTTTACCATCGTCGATCTATACTTTTACCGTTGTAGATCTACACTCCACTATCGCCAATCTATACAACCACCATATCACCACTGCCTCCTTTATTCAGATTTAAATTTATTTTTCAATAATAAATTTATCAGTCTCTCTTATTCTTTTGCGTATATAGAAGATGAGGGTGGACTATTTTATGTGAGTGAGTGAATATGAGTAAAAATGGTAAATATTAATGAATAGATTTACAATAATAAATTTATCAGTTAGGACTTGTAGATAAATAAGTTTAGTTAATTGAACTGATCCGTAAGTGCCCCTAAAATAAATAAATTGAAAAGAACAGAGCTTTCTACTATTTTTATTATGGAATTATGATGGAGTTATGGAGTTAAACGAAGTTAGAGTTAGAAAAAGTTAGAGACGAAGTAGGCAACAAAATGATGGAGAGAATTTACATTGTTTATTATGTTGGCTTGAAAACCAATTTATAGAATACATCTTACATATACAAACAAAATCATAAAGTCATCCTACTCTATCCTAACATTATTACATTGTAGAAAATTAACACACCAATACAGTCAAAATTTTGCATCTTTCTACCAAAGGCTATAAGCCTAGATATAGGCTTGGACAAAAGTTCTACAAAAAATAAATACAAGATCAAAAAAGTCTTGAGAAAAATAAATAAAAACCTACCATTATTGGCCATATTCTAACAAACTACAATTATATACACTGTAAAAATAAACAATTTTCTTTAGCTATCAGACCTCATATCAAATGAGTTTTCTGATCCAGTTTTTGAACAAATAAAAAGAATTTGCCTTTTTGAAAAAGCAAGAACTTTGCTCTCAAAAGAAATTTTTCTGTCAATCAAAAATCGAGTGGAGGATCATCGTGATAAGATTAGACAAATCTTAGAACGATCTTATGATAAATTAAATTTTAAAGATAGAATTCCCAAAATAACCATATAGATTGGAGAATAACTAATCAAGTTATTTTTCAAATTTTAGATCCAATCCAATAGATAAAATATCCAATGACCATCAAAGAAATGCTCTCATGGGTAGTAAAAGGCTTCCAATAGAGTAAATATTTTACTTTCTAGATCTCCAACACTGTTAACACTGTTGGTTGGCGGAAACGAGAATATTTTTTCCAACCATACCAGACTTGGTATCTTAAAGAAACTGAAGATTTTGAATTTGAAGATGATTATTTAGATGAAGATCGCTGGAGAGAGCGATTGAAAAATATTTAAAAGCTTTCTTTGACAGAATATTGGATAGACAGTCTAATATCTGTTTCACAGGCAACATCCAATATCCATGACTCAGCAAAATTGCCATTCATGGTCACAAATGGTAGAATACTATTTGTAACCCATTTTCTCATAACATATCAAAGGTCTCCTACGCAAATTAATGAGGCTCTTGAGATGTTATTAAATCTCAAAAAGAGAAATAATTTGGATATTCCGTTGAAACTAGACATGACAGCGGATGATGTAGAACATTTTTGGACTGAACAATACAGTCAGGATCTTAATTCCCCTTCATCAGAGACTGATAAAAAGTATCACAATCTCATAAACCAGATGGAAGCATAGTGGACCCCACTATCACATACAGTTGTCTCCTGATCAACTCCAACCTTATCTAGGACACGTGGAGCAACCTGTATTATTGGACAGAAAATGGTCAAACAAATCCTTTCAGTCAACGCTACAAGACAAAAATGATCAGCCAAATCTTATCTGTTTCAGTCTATCCCTTTAAAAACCGGGGAGGATAGACAGTGTATATAATTGTAGTTTGTCAAAATATGGCTATTTATTTTTCTCACGATTTTTTTGATCTTGTATTTATTTTTTGTAGAATTTTTGTCTAAGCCTATATCTAGGTTATAGCCTTTGGTAGAAAAATGCAAAATTTTGGCCATATTGGTGTGCTAATTTTCTACAATGTAATAATGTTAGGATAGACTAGGATGACTTTGTGATTTTGTTTGTATATGTAAGATATATTCTATAAATTAACTTCCAAGCCAACATAATAAACAATGTAAATTCTCTCCATCTTTTTGTTGCCTACTTCGTCTCTAACTTTTCCTAACTCTAACTTCACTTGACTCCATAACTCCATCATAATTCCATAATAAAAATAATAGAAAGCTCATTTCCTTTTTTGTTGTGTACTTTATTCGATCCATGGTTTTATAATTATAGAACTGAATTGGACCAATTAGACATATACATATATATATACATATATAATTTGTTATTTATAATAGATAATATCTTATTAATATCATATATATATATTCATAAGTTGTTAAGTCTTTGTTTATAAATGTATTATTATATAATAGTAAAATTAATTCTAAATAATTATTTAAACAATTTTATTTGTAAAATGATAATATATTATTTGATCTTTGAGCAAATTCATGAATGGAATCAAACCACATCTTCATAGTTTGATTTGATTTGATTTCAAAAATTTTATAATTCGACTTATTTTTAAATTTTATGAAGCCGTAAGTTATAATTTGACTTTAATTTACTTCAAAACCAAACTAAACATAACTACGCTCATCTCTACTTCGCAATCATGGCCAACAACAGGTGATGAACAAAACCAAACTAAACATAACTGTGCTCATCCCTACTTGGCGATCATGGCCGACAACAGGCGAGGAACAAAGGTGGTCAGTGAGGAGTAAAATTATTTTTAAAATAAGTGAAAACACTCTTCATTACTTTTTTTTCATTTTCAAAGATTTGAAAATTTTGAAACTGATTCCACTTTTCGCAAATAAAAATATTGTTCTAAGAAAAAGATAGAAAACGGAAAACAAAAGCAACGCATAAACAATTTCATTTCCTCTTCATTTTCTCTTCCCTTAATAAATGAAAGATCCAAACACAACCATCAGACTTAAAAAAGAATTGCCTGAAATTCCATGTTCCAGCAAAGAGTTTATTCTATTTTATTTTTAAAATAAAATGCATGCAAGTAGAACCACATTGTTAAGATTCTAAATTTCATTTGAATTTTGGTAGATCAACTCAATTATTGAACAAGACACTAATGTTGTGTTTGGTTGGGAGATTTGAAGAGGGATTTGGAAAGGGAAAGGGAAAATGTGTGTAAAATTAAGTGAAATATAGACATGTTTTATTCACATTTCACCTACTTTTTCCATTTCTCTTTCCAAAACCCTCTCCAAATCCCCCAACCAAACACAACATAAAGCGGCAAAGGCAACTTAATGGGCACCAAAATAGAAGTAGAAATTTTTGGTCAAATCTTTTACCTATTAATCAAAACCATCATCAACACCTATACATGCATAATTTTCACAGAAATAGCTATTCTAACAAAAAATTCAAACAAAATTTTTTACCAGAATCATGCCACATTTAACATTTTTACAATTAACAATCATCTTAGTGGATTCATCATTTTGAAATAATATAATAGGCCCATAGTACAACCACATCATTTTGTAGAAGTTTTCTATTATTCATTTATTTATTTTTTATATAGGTATTATTCATTTTTTTATTGATATGTACATAAACCATATCCACAATTCACGTGACTTGGCTTAATACAGATAGTAACATGTTTCACTCTTCTATTCAGATTTGGAGAACAGGGTTGTTACACTTGCAACAAAAATTTCTAGCATACAGGCATTATATAATGAATCTACCATAATGTCTTCTTCATACTTGTGATTCTTTTCTATCTCAGCGGTTTAGAAGGTATCCAAGCATGACACTGATGAGTGACACCATACAAACAAACAGGAAAGGAAATCCCACCTGAACTTCAATTGCTCCTCTCTTACTTCTCAACAAAGCCTGCAGAGCAAGGAAAGCCAATGTCAAGAAGCAGCAAGTCCAATAAGGTTGCAACAACTACCACGGACTCTTTTACAAACAATAATTCACAAAATATAGACAAAATGAGAATGGATGAGTAATCCATGTCATGTTATAGAATGCCCACAACTTTTCAACTCACTAACAAGAAACCAATTACCACACAACTTGAGAGGGGAAAAAAAAAATGCCCCGATAGATATTTTTGCAAGAGGTTTAGAAGGAAGTAGCATTAGAGATTCATAACTTCACTTTCATCTCTTCTAATGGTATGCCAAGAACATGGCACTCTATTCAATACAAATACTACTTATGCAATTCAAGTAAGCTATTCAGTCATTGTTGGCTCAAGATCAGTTGAGTGCGGAGTGCATCAAGTAAGGGTTCATTTGTAGTCTTTTGTTTTCAGTTTGGCTTCAGCCATCCCTTGAACCAAAATAGAAAAATTAAGCCACTGGATCTTGGATTTCATAGGTAGCAAAGGCTTCAATGGACAATTAGGTACTTAGAAAAGATTGGCTGTAGAACTCATCTTGGTGGCCATAGCATTTATCCTTCATTCAGTGCCTCCCAAAACCAATTTAAACATGTCTTTAACTAAAGATAACAAAACAAGACCCTAATTAAATAATACAGAAGAAGGTAGATGGGTAATCAAAAAACGATAGGCAGTTGGAGAGAGAAAGGGTGGTTAGATAGATCATAGCTACCCTCTATCATTCATACCCATTAATGCTCCAGCTCATTCTACACCATTACTTTGTATTGATTATAAAACGACCATTTCAGGGTTTATGGCTACGCTCGTGATCTTGGACATAAAACAACAAACACTCTACAAAAATAATACAAGAGTCTAGTACCAATTCTTGTCGAAAGCTTTCCCCCTCTCGAGCAATCCATCTCCTCTCCTCTGTTAGCTTTGAAATGGTAACTTCAGCCTGCAGCGGTAAATCCAAAAGATCATGAGTCACTTCTAAATCCATGAGGTGTATTGAAATGCTGATCACCATCTCATCTAAAAGCTTAAGCTGTTAGAGAGGAGCAATTATTTATATTATATTCTCAAAAAGGTGCATCAAATTTTTAAATACAACAGAATGTTGCACTTTCTTAAGAAGATTGACCCACTCCATTTTATCCTCCACTATAGACAGGCATTTAATCTACAAAATGGTGATACAGCACTAAGCGAAGCCAATTTCACAATTGATGGTAAAACTTTTTCACAGAGCCCAAAAACTATGAAGCACCAACACTTCAAAACAAGTGTTGTGTCCGTGTCGGACACACGAACACTTTGGGGACACGTGGAGATGGCGGGACACATATGGAACACACCACATGGCATGTCTCCTTATTTAATTAATTTATTATCAGGAGAAATGTCGGGGACACTTTGAAGATACACTAAGGACATGCCAAGTTGTCTTTTCTCTCATTTTATTTAATACTTTTGATGAATGTTGAATATTTATTATTTTTTTTTTAGATTTAAATATTTAATAGATCATCCATAAAAAAAATAAAAAATAAAAAAAAGGTATAAACTGTACGTGTTAATTTAAAAATACTTTTTTTTTTTTTTTTAAATATAGAATTTGAGTTAGTTTTTGTTAATATTGATTGTTTAGGGATATAATATTAATCTAGATAGCAAATAAAAATATATGAAAACATATTTTATTGCCATTTTCGTGTCTCCATTTTTTTAAAAACGCCATGGCCCGTGTTCACATCCACATCCACATCTACATCTGTGTCTGTGTCTGTGTCCGCATCTATATCTGTGTCCGTGCTTCTTAGCCCAAAACATGGAAAGAAAAAGACCCATAACAGAACTTACAAGGAAAAAATTTAAAGCACTTTGCAAAGTGACAATGCACTTCATTGAAATTGTTGATTTGGAGAATTCTAGAAAACCCATTCATAAAGTATCACCATCAAACAATAGGGCCATAACGCTTGTTACTGAACTTAATGTAGACATGAAATATGTTAGAATAATATATTGTTATTTGAGTTCTTATTTTGTAATTATTATGTGCCTTAGGACTCCCTTGTAATTATTAAATTCATTAACATAAATAGGGGATGATATCCTAATCATTCCCTAATCTAGTATTCTTTAAAAATAACATGGTATCAGAGCCTAACCCTAAAACCTAAATTCCTCTACCCATACAGTACCCACCGGAGCCACCACAGAGACACCACACAGTCGTCTTCCATCGTCACACCCTTAGGACCATCGTCACTCCATAGTCGTCTTCCACACTCGTCGACGAAGCTAAGGCCAAGAGGCCTGATAGCAGTGACCGACTGGGCTGGGAGAGCCCTAGGCAGTCTCGACTGGGTGTATCTCACCGACGAAGCTAAGGCCAGGTGGCCTAACTACAGCAGCCGACTGGGCTGGGAGAGCCCTAGGTAGCCCTGACTGGTGCGTCTATCCCTGTCGCCTCCGACTGGTGGGTCTGTCCCTGTCACCTGTCTGTCTGTCGTCTTCGTGAAGATGTATCGCTGAGTTCTCTTCGTGACTTGTTCGTGACTTGGAAGCTCTGTTTGTGTCTGTAACTCGCCTCTGCCTTGTTTTTCTTTAATTTATTTATTTATTTATTGTCTTTCAAAAAAAAAAAGAGTAAAAAGAAAAAAAAAATGGAAAAAAAGGGTTGATGAGTTTTTTAAGTCTTTTAATTTTCTTAGTGGTCATTGTGTTTGTATTCCTCCACTTTCCGAATTTGTGATTGTCACTAGTTTTGTTGAGGGTTCAATAGTACAGTATCTATGACAAATTCCACTGGTGTGTCCACTACTTCTCAAACACCTAGGAGTGAGAGTTTCCCTATACCTACTACTATGATTGAAAACCCCAACCCTAGTCTTAAAATCACTACCCCTATTTAATGGTCAAAATTATCTAGCGTGGTCGCAGAGTTTGACTATGTTTTTGAAGAGTAGAGGGAAGATGGAATATGTAGATGGCAGGATACAGGCACCCAGCACAATTGACCCGGTTTATGACCAATGGGAGATTACCAACTCTTTGATTATGAGTTGGCTTATTCATTCGATGGTACCAAACATTGGCGATGGCTACTTATCTATGGAGACTACCCAGGATGTTTGGGATACTGTGGCTACCACCTATTCCCGCAAAGGGGATTTCTCACAGGCATTTGAGTTACGCCACTCTATTGAGAGCTCTATTCAGGGGGAGCAGATAGTTCTTCAATACTTCACCTTCCTCACCAATGGCTGGAAACGCCTTGATCACCTGCAGGACTATAAGCCTGTTTGCACTGCTAATGCAGTCGGGTACAGGAAGTTCATTGCACAGGAAAGAGTTTTCAAGTTTCTGGCCGGTCTCAATATGGAGTATGATCCAGTTCGGAGTCGGATTCTGAGTATGGACACTCTTCCTTCACTTCAGGAGGCTTTTGCCTATGTACAAAATGAGGAGAACCGCCGGTCTGCTATGATGTCCCCTGTCTCTACTGACCGCTCGGCATTACTGTCTACCTCTAGAGATGGCCTCAGCCTGACTCCCATCCCTCCGTCTGCCGCCAAGGGGTCTATATTCTGTGATTACTAAAAGAAGCCACAACATACTTGTGAGACGTGTTGGAAGCTTCATGGAACTCCATCCAGGGGTCGAGGTGATCGGTCTGGTTCTAGAGGAGGTCGGTCAGGCCAGTCTAGAGGACGTGGCTCCTATCCTCGGGCTCATCGGTCTAGTGCCGTTGATAAACTTGATTCTACTTCTGCTTCCGTTGGCCAAGCTTCTGATGGTCTCTTTAGCATGACTACTCATAAACTTGAGGATGTTCTACGTCACTTATTGGACCGCCAGTCTTCTACTACTCTCACCACATCTTCCTCATCATTTGCCCGCTCAGGTAACTTAGTCTCCTCTCCTTGTGTTTTCTTGTCTCATACGTCTTTGCCCTAGATTATTGATTCTGGTGCCTCAGATCATATGTCTGGCTCCTCTGACCTTTTCTCTGCCTATAAGTAGGACTAAGCAAGGAATCTGTGAAATCCGTAATCCAATCCAGTCCAGTCCAATCCAATAGGTTTGGATTGGTTTTTCGAATCCCTGGTTCGGTTCCGGATTGAAGAATTAAAAATTCGTAGTCCACGGATTGGTTCCGGATTGAACCCCACGGTTCCGGATTGGAACCGATCCGGACCGTATGCAAATAGTCTATATTTTTATTATGCATCCTCCCTCATAGTATCTTCTCTTATTCTATATAAAACATAAACTCAAACCTAAACCCGTATAATATCTTCTTTTATTACTTTTATTCATTAGTTTTTAGTTTTAATTTATAATGCTCTAAATTTTTATTGTGAAACCAGTTTTCTTATTGTTTTTAAAATTTTAGAAAAGTATGTTGCTATTATAGAAAAACATGTTGCTATTGTGGAACTAATATAGCATTATGTTTATGTTTTTATGAAATTAAAGTGTTATATATATTTTTTGTTATTTAATTATGTGAATCCGTGGTCCTAAATCGATCCAATCTGTATTTAAATGGATTGGTTCGGATTGGTTCCATGATTTAAACAGATTGGATTGGTTCTAATTTTTCAGGAACCGTAGATAACGAATTGGTCCTGGTTTTACCCCAATCCGGTCCAATTCGGACCATGCTCACCCCTACCTATAAGCCCATTTCAAGTCAGGACAAAGTTAGAATTGCAGATGGTACTGTTTCTTCTATTTCTGGGAAAGGTTTAGTCCATGTCACTCCTACTTTACCTCTCTTCTGTTCTCTATGTTCCCAATTTTTCTGTTAACCTGCTATTCTTGAGTCGTATTACAAAAGATTTGAATTGTAGTGTAATATTTTTTCCTGATCATTGTCTTTTTCAGGACCTTGTCACGAGAAAGACGATTGGCAATGGTAGTGCAGAAAATAATCTCTACTTCCTGGATCAACCGGACAAGCTTGCTCATTCTTCCACCAAGGGTCCTACTACCACTGATGATATATGGTTGTGGCATCGGGGTCTTGGGCATCCTTCTTTTTCTGTACTTAAGCATTTATTTCCATCTGTTTTTTCAAACAATAATGTGTCTGAATTTCTTTGTAAGTCTTGTCAGCTTGGAAAACAACACAGAGCTTCTTTTGCTCCCAATTTTAATAAAAGTTTAGTTCATTTCTCATTAATACATTCTGATGTTTGGGATCCATCTCGTGTTGTATCTGTGAAAGGTCATCGCTAGTTTGTTACATTTATTGATGATTTTCCTCATACTACTTGGGTGTATCTCATGAAAGACAAGAGTGAAGTCTTCTATATGTTCCGCAATTTTCATAAGATGATTTGTACTCTGTTTGGGGCCACTATCAAAATATTTCGTTCTGATAATGGGGGTGAACACATAGATTCTGGGTTAAGGCCATATTTTTCTACTCATGGCATTATCCATCAGGCCTCCTACACCAATACCCCTCAACAAAATGGGGTAGCGGAACGCAAGAATCGCCATCTTCTTAACATGGCTCGGTGCATGTGTTTTTCCATGAGTGTGCCTCGATCCTACTGGGGCGACGCTATTCTCACCGCTGCCCATCTTATTAATCGTCTTCCTACTCAGGTCTTGCAAATACAAACTCCTCTTCAAGTCCTCCTCGGTTCCCCGTCCTTATTTTCTATTCCTCCCAAAATATTTGGCTGTCTATTTTGTCCATAATCACTCTCCTACTCGTGGTAAGTTGGACCCTCGTTCCCTCAAATGTATTTTCCTTGGGTACTCTCCTACTCAAAAAGGGTATAAGTGTTACCACCCTCCTTCTCGTAAGTGGTTTGTGTCCATGAATGTCGCCTTCTTTGAGTCCCAATCCTATTTCTTGTCCTCTCTGGTGTCCCAGTCCTCCCTTCCGGGGGAGCCTTGGTGTGAAATGATTCCTGTGATTTCTATGGTGGAACCAATTGTTCTTGCACGACCACCTCCTATTGGGACTACAGAACCCAATGTCACCAAGGATAAGGAAGGGCAAGTTTATGTCCGCGACAAAAACAGACAGAAAGTTATTTAGATACAAGAGACCACTTCTGCTCCTTCACTGCCATCTCCTGCTTCTGATGAGAGTTCAGGTAACTTTGAATCTCTTGAGTCCATTAATCTTGATGTTCCTATTGCCAAGAGAAAGGGTGGGAGATCTTGTACTCAACATCCTATCTCAAATTTTGTGTCTTACTCTCATTTGTCATCCTCATATAGAGCGTTTGTGTCAAATATTTCCTCTGTTAGCATTCCCAACCATTTTCAGGATGCTCTTGCTACCTCTGAGTGGAAACTTGCCATAATTGATGAAATGAAAGCACTTAGGAAGAATGGCACTTGGGAATTGACCGAGTTACCTAAGGGCAAATGACCTATGGGATGCAAATGGGTATATACTGTGAAACATAGAGCGGATGGTTCTATTGAGCGTTACAAGGCGAGACTTGTGGCCAAAGGGTTCACTCAGACATATGGCGTTGACTATCAAGAGACCTTTGCACCTGTGGCTAAGATGAATTTAGTCAGAGTACTTCTCTCTCTAGCAGCTAATCTAGATTGGCCACTTCATCAGTTTGATATAAAGAATGCCTTTCTCCATGGTGACCTCGAAGAAGAGGTATATATGGACATTCCTCCTGGTTTTGAGGATCATCAAACATAAGGCAAAGTATGTAGGCTTCGGAAGTCATTATATGATCTCAAACAGTCTTCAAGGGCTTGGTTTTAGAGATTCACTCAGGCAATGCTTAAATATGACTTCAAAGAGAGTCAGGCAGATCACACCTTGTTTGTGAAACATTCCTCACTTGATAAGATTACAACACTCATTGTTTATGTAGTTGACATAGTTCTTACGGGCGATGATAGTGATGAAATTCCTCTGTTGAAGAAATATTTAGCCAGTGAGTTTGAAATCAAAGACTTGGGGAGCTTAAAGTATTTTCTGGGAATTGAAGTTGCTCGCTTCAAGGATGGGATATTTATCTCACAGAGGAAATATGTGCTTGATCTGTTGAAGAAAACTGGGATGCTTGGCTGCAAGGCCTGTGACACTCCACTGAAACCCAATCAGAAACTGGGGGATGATGAAGGAGGAGCAGCTGTTGATAGGGGGAGCTATCAACGATTAGTAGGTAAGCTCATTTACCTATCTCACTCCCGTCCTGATATTGTTGTTGTTGTTAGTGTGATTAACCAGTTTATGCATGCTCCTCATCAGATTCACTTCGAGGCTATTATGAGGATTTTGAGGTACTTGAAGTCTACTCCTGGTAAGGGTCTTTATTTTTCAAAGTATGATCATCTTTGTGTGGAAGCCTATACAGATGTTGACTGGACTGGATCAGTGACTGATGGGAGATCAACTTCAGGGTATTGCACCTTTGTTGGAGGCAACTTTACTTGGAGGAGTAAGAAACAGAATGTGGTTGCCAAGTCAAGTGCAGAAGCTGAGTTCAGAGCTATGGCACAAGGGGTGTGTGAGCTCTTATGGGTCAAGTTATTGTTGAGTGATCTAGGTATTGATCAGATGGACTCCATACGGTTATACTATGATAATAAGGCCGCTATCAACATTGATCACAATCCGGTTCAACATGATAGGACAAAGCATGTTGAGATTGATCGCCACTTTATTAAGGATAAACTCACTAGTGGCACAGTATGTACTCCCTTTGTGCAGTCTGGTGAACAACTTGCTGACATCCTCACCAAGGAAGTTGGGAGTAAGCTATTTCATGACATCTTAGGCAAGCTGGGCATGAGAGATATTTTCCCACCAGCTTGAGGGGGAGTGTTAGAATAATATATTGTTATTTGGGTTCTTATTTTGTAATTATTCTGTGCCTTAGGGCTCCCTTGTAATTATTAAATTCATTAATATAAATAGGGGATGATATCCTAATCATTCCCTAATCTAGTATTCTCTAAAAATAACAAAATATAATAAGGTGTATCTTTTCAATCAATGATTGAATTGATCATGAGCACAAGTGTTAGGTTGCATTTGGATTTATGGATTTGAAATGAAAGGATTTAGGCACCGACCATTCAAAGAAAATGGTTCAAATTTAGATATGATAGTTTAGGTATGAATTTCAAAATTGATAGCTTTACGATAATTGATTATGATGAATGTGAATTAGCAATGTAAACAAAAATAATTATTTGAAATCATTCATACTAAGAATTATAGTTGTCCAAGCTCTATCTTCCCCCTCAGTTTCTCAGTCTTATACAATAACCAACTCCTATATTTTTAAGAAGTTTAACCTCAAATCCCTTCATTTGAAATCCATATACCCAAACGGAACCTAAGGTAATTTATGTTTGCTTCAAATTCTGTGGCCTCTTCAATTTTTTTCTGCAATCATTAACAATAGATAACTAACAATCAAAACAACATTAGATTGAATTCCTAGAAAGCATAATGCAAAACTGATTAACTCAACAAGTCATTGATTCCATTAATTATTGGGATTTTCAATTACCACAGTACATTTGAGCATGCCTTGTGTGAATCGTGATGAGAATAAAACTTGCACACTCTGAAGATGAACCAAATAAGACTTATTTAGATCCTGTGCGAAAATAAGGTGGAATAATTCAATTTCCGTGAACTTCCACACAAGCTTCACATATCTAAGTCTAACCGTAATAAGTATGACGTAAGTCAGTGAATTAGGAGCCCCATCCAATTGAATGGCATTAATAATACATCAAAATATGCTCTGAATATGAACAACCAATTAACAACATAGATAGTTTTTGATATTTCTTTTTTCTTTTTTCTTTTTTCTTTTTTCTTTTTTCTTTTTTTGCCCTTTGGAACAAGTTAATACATAGACATCCAAGTGTCAGTTGAGATTTGAGACTGAATTGAATCAACCAAGTCAACTTGGAATTAATTTGCAGCAACATGATTTCCTGGCTGGATTATGAGATGGATTGCAGAAATAGGCTGAACCCATCTTATTTCACGAGAGATATCTAGTCCAGTTATTTTTTCTTACAAAAAAATAATAAAAGTTTATTTCACAGAATCACCAAAGAGCTCTGATGGGAGATGGGTCCTGAGGTTATATCTTAGGTATATCGGTAGATCTATCCTTTGAAGCACGGACACGGACACGGACACGGACAAGGACAAGGACACGAGACACAACAATTTCCAAAATATGGGGACACGGGCACGGCAGGGGACATGACAATTTTTTTTTATATAAATATTTTTATTTTAATATACGTTAATTATTTTATTTATTTATTTCTTTTTTTAAATAATGTGTTTTTGGTAATTTTTTATTTTATTTTATATACATGTGTTTTTTTTATTAATATGTATAAGTAGTATATATTATGTTATATATACTTATAAAATAATATGATTTTATTAATATTATCTTATATATACTTATATATATATACAAGAGATAAGAAAGAAAGCGAAGGGACAGAGACGGCGAGAGAGAGAGACAGAGCGAGAGAGAGAGAGAGAAGACGACGCGAGCGAGACATGGTTCGATGGTTCGATGCGAGCGAGACGAGATCGATGGTTCAAGTCAACTGGAAGTTCGACGACTAGAGTCAAAGGTTTGTCTTTTCATTCTCCTCCTTCACACTCTCCCCCTCTATCTCTCTCTCCTCGTCGTGTCTCATGCCATGTCTAGATCTGGACACGCGTGTCCCCAGCGTGTCCAAATAATTAAATTAACGGTTACGTGTCCCCGGCATGTCCCCGTGTCCGACACCGCCATGGTGCCGATTTTGCCGTGTCCATGCTTCATTGGATCTATCTAATACCCACAAAAGAAATGAAATTAATTAGATTCAATAACAATAATCATATTCGGAAAATTGGTTTCAGTCATATGCCTAATACATAAATGATTGTATCATTGTAAACAATGACACACCTCCATAAAACTTTAAAAAAAAAAAAAAAACTCCATAGCACTAAAAAGCATGGATATGAGCATGGGACACAGACACAAAACAATGTAGACACCCCAATATGACAATATTCAAGATATTAAGACACCGCATGGTGGGGATGCGACAACATTTAAATACAAAAATTTTAATGTATACATAAAATAATGACAAGCTATCTATTTTTTACATAACAAATATATTTATATTTTACTATATCAAAATAGGAAGAAATCATTTTCCACATATATGTTAGGAAAAGTGCGAAGTGTGAACAAAAAAAATCTTAATATCTACTTTAAAAAGCTCTATTCACAAGCAAATTAGAAGTTTTATTCTTTAGTATTTCTAAATTTAAAAATCCTAGAGTACGGATTAATGAGTATCAAGTCCATATTGTCTTGATTTACAATCATTGACCCCAAGTTTTCCTCTTTTGAACCTTAATCCTCTCTTGACCAATACATTTAGTTTTTTCAAGTATAAAGAACATTTTTGGGTGGATCCAACTATTTCAATATATAATGCAACCAAATACTGTGCACATATCACTATTCTCATCTTGCATGTGGCTTCTAATCTAATCAAAAGAAAAAGGAGGAAGAAACAGATATGAAACCTGGGACCAAAAACCCACAGTTCACATATCCTCTACATGGTTTGTAAAAATGAAATATATCTAAAATAAAGAATGATATCCACGTTAGCCAACTCTGATGAATGTTTACATCAGATATAGGAAAAAGCAAGAGTATAGGTATAGCTGTAACCATAGAACCCACTTACCACAAGTAACTAACCAGCAAACAAGAAACCATATGATTAATATGTCATCAAGTTAAAAACCAGAAACCGTGGAGAAAACTGACCTCACTTAGCTTTGATTCAAGTTCATTAAGTTTTGACTTCATATCCTCAATATCTTTAACTAACTGCAGCTCCTCCACACCCTTCATTGGTTTATACTCTACTTCCTTTGCAGGCTCCTCCTCATCTTTCATTGTTTTAGACTGTACTACCTTTGCAGGCTCCTGATCATCCTTCATTGTTTTACAATCCACATCCTTAGCTTGCTCCTCCACATCATTCATTGCTATATAATCTGCATCCTTCACCTGCTCACCCACATCTTCCATTATTTTGTAATCCACATCCTTTGGTTGCTCCTGCACATCCTTCCTTGTTTTATACTCTACATGCTTTGCTGGCTCCTCCATATCCTTCAATGTTTTATAATCTACATCCTTTGCTTGGTCCTCCACATCCTTCATTGTTTTATACTCTACATCCTTTGCTGGCTCCTCCATATCCTTCATTGTTTTATACACCACACCCTTTGCTGGCTTTACCTCCTTACTGTTTTCCATTTTGGCTTCCACATCCTTAGTAACCTGACACAAATGGAAAAAGAAAATCACTATACTACATTTCAGATGCAAATCACAACGGACTTAAAACTTCATCATAATATCACAGATAGCGTAAGTCATATGCTGAATGCCTAACACAAATCCCTTTTCCTAATGAACTGCACAAGTAACTGGTCAAATAGCACAAAAAGATTCAGAACATACTAAAAATTCAATCCACCCTTAGGGTTGATCACCAGTGCAATTCCCTAAAAAGCCTCCTAAGACGAACAGAGCCAACAAGAAATTACAGCAAGGCGATATCCACAAATAAAATGTATTGAAAAATAACCAGGGTATAGATGAGCCTCATGTCAACTAAAACGAGAATCTCTTACTGTGTGACGTGGAGTAAAGCTTTCAAGTTTCCTCAGTACTTGATCTTTCAGTATTGAATCTTCATAAGCTGGCACGTGTTTCAATGTTCCATTGATTGGTGATAGTACTGGAGAATTGGGGGGGCTGACAAGGATCACTCTCATCTTGTTCTCTTCAACGTATCTGCCACAATCTTTGGCAAACTGCCAAACTGAACCATGAGAAACCAGAATAGAGAATCAGCGCCAAAAACTTTGTGTAAAAGTACAGAACAACTTACCATGCCAGGATCAACATCCTCATCTGTTGTTCCTGCAGGAACAACTGTGCTCTGAACTAAAAACCTGTCTTTGCATATCATGTCAGGAGGAGCTAACTTTTGCGCTTGCATTGTAACTACATAGCACCAAATTTGTCAACAATAATATAAATTACAAATAGATGACGGCAACAAACAATCAGAAACTATGGTGTACAACTTAGCAAAAAAATGTAGAATATTAATACCATATTTGAATGCATCATAATAGTTCTAGAATCTCCATTAACATATCTAGTTTACTTCAGATGTCAGTTAAGATATAACTTAAATAACTTGCAAAGAGATTACCATATTTGTATGTTCCTCTTTTGTCATATCTAAGAACATTTCTAATTGAAAATTAGAAATGAAAATATTTGTGGAATGGTAAGAGTAGCACCAATTGAGGATAAGTTGAGAAAGAACGGGATAAAATGGTTTAGTAATGTACAGCGGAACCTATAAATGTAACAGCAAGAAAGAGTGATATGATCACATAAATGAAAATGTTGGGTTTTTTTTTTTTTTTTTTTTTTTTTGGGGGGGGGGGGGGGGGGGGGGGGGGGTCCTAAACTGACATAGGAAGCAGTAGTCAAAGAATATATGAATTTATTTAATTTAACTAAGTATATAGCCCTCAACGGACCAGAATGGCAACAAAAGATCACGTAACTAACCCCACTTACAACTTAATTTGGTTTGGTTATTGCACCAAAATAGTAAGATCATTTTTCAATTGTACATAATGGAAAACAAGTGTGAACAAAAAAGTCTTAATATCGATTTTACAAAGTAGTATTTATAAACAAACTTAAAATTCTGGGATATAGAATTCCTAAAATTAAAGTCTAAAATATAATGGATTAATAGGAACAAATCACAATGTTATATTGTATCATTGGATCTCAAGTTACTTTCTTCAAACTTACAATATGTGTCGCATGTGTGCTCCTAATGTCTTAGGCGTGTCCATTTAACAAAGTGAAAAATGAAAAAATACGACATGTTTGGATGAATATTGTCAACAATAGTACCGTACCGGCCAGTGTACCATTTTTTTCATCATTATATTCGCTAGTTTGCTCCTTTTTTTCCTCTTTTTATTTGGCATGGTGTTTCAGAATTATTGTGATAAATATATATCAAGTGTTCTAGATTTGTCATGTGTTGTGGATTATATTTAACAAGCTTACATCATTTCAAGAACTTGCCCCCATGGAATTTGGCCTTAGCACGTAGAAGGCAATGGCAGCCTAAGAGCCAACTTGAGGGTCTTAAGCTAATCTCAAATGTAACAACAAATCATAATTGATCCCATAAACCCAAGCTACAGCAGCAACTTTTTTGGTTTTAGGCATAGGTTGGTTCTAGTTCCCACACATGAATAACTAAGAGCCAAAGGGAAAAACATGTTCCTATAAAGGGTATTAAAAACAATGTCATATTTCCTAGCGCACAACACTGGATACATTTTTTTTTTTTATCGGCAACACCGGATACGTTTCTAAAGTAATAATGACAATTTATTCAAAGATATGATAATTAGTTACATGACTATACCTGGCTACCTATGAAGCACGGACACTCCAAAATCGGTGCCGTGGCGGTGTCCGACACGCGGATACGCCAGGGACACGTACGGGACACACCAGATGGCGTGTCCCTTTAATTTAATGATTTTTTTGTAGGGGAAACGGCGGAGACACGCGTGTCACGGCATGGGACACGGCAAGGGGACACAGAGAAGGAGAAAGAGAAGACCTAAATCCTAAATCAAAAGAAGAAGAAAAAACAGAGAAAAGAAGACTAACCTGTTCGATCGATCTCCACAAAAAACAACTAGGGCTTCGAATTCGAATCAACTTGCGACTTCAATCTCCGAAATGACGAACAGATGTCGACTCAAATGAGAACCCAGATGTCGCGAACTTGTATCGACGAACCCACCCAAATGATGCGAACTGAAATCGCCTTCAACTTCGAACTGAAATGCCCTCTCTCGTCTCTCTCTCTCTCTGTCACCTCTCGCCTCTCTCTCTTCTTTTTCTTCTCCCGGCTCTCTTCTTTCTTTCTTTTTCTTTTTTTGATTTATTTTCTGTATAAATATATATACTTATATATTACATATTTTTATTTAGTTTTTTTTTCTTTATAAATTTATGTCTTTTATGTATTTACCATCATTCTATTTTCTTTTAATTTCTCTATTTAATTTTTTTACTTTTATAAACATATATATCTTTTAGTGTTTCCTCTTTTATTGAATTATTGTTACTATGTTAGTGTTTGTTAATTTTAATTTAGGATGAATGTAATATAAATTTACATACACGGACACGGATACAGACACGGGACACGGTAATTTCCAAAAAATAGAGACACGGACACGGCGGGGGACACGGCTATTTTTTTTAAATATATTTTTATGTATTATGTAAATTTATATTACATTCATCCTAAATTAAAATTAACAAACACTAGCATAGTAACATTAATTTAATAAAAGAGGAAACACTAAAAGATATATATTTATTTATTTATTTATAAAAAGTATATATGGTTATAGAAGTAAAAAAATTAAATAGAGAAATTAAAAGAAAATAGAATGACTATAAATACATAAAAGACATAAATTTATAAAAAAAAAAACCTAAATAAAAATATATAATATATAAGTATATATATTTATATAGAAAATAAATTAAAAAAAGAAAAAGAAAGAAAGAAGAGAGCCGGGAGAAGAAAAAGAAGAGAGAGAGGCGAGAGGTGACACACACACACACACACACGAGAGAGGGCATTTCAGTTTGAAGTTGAAGGCAATTTCAGTTCGCATCATCTGGGTGTGTTCGTTGATTCAAGTTTGCAACATCTGGGTTCTCATTTGAGTCGACATCTGTTCGTCATTTCAGAGATCAAAGTCGCAAGTCGATTCAAATTCGAAGCCCTAGTTGTTTTTCATGGAGATTGATCGAACAGGTTAGTCTTCTTTTCTCTGTTTTTTCTTCTTCTTTTGATTTAGGATTTAGGTCTTCTCTTTCTCCTTCTCTGTGTCCCCTTGCTGTGTCCCAAGCCGTGACACCCGTGTCCCCGCTGTGTCTCCGCCATATCCCGTAAAAAAAAATCATTAAATTAAAGGGACACGCCATCTGGTGTGTCCTGTACGTGTCCCCGGCGTCCCCGTGTCGGACACCGCCACGGCACTGATTTTGGAGTGTCCATGCTCCATAGGCTACTCATTGTCATCATAACCAATGCATTCGGGCTTGCCACTATTTCAATACTCCAACATAAGTCAATTCAAATAAAATATCATCACATTATCAAGTAGAAAACCACTCAGCATGGGTTTCAATTGATTAAACCTCGATAGTTCTCAAGATATAACAATTAGTTTTCTATTAACACCAATTTATTTTCATTATCACTTATTAATCATGATCTTTCCCTGGATCCCTAGATCCTCATACACTTACTGCCAGGAACATGTGACATGACACAAAGACATGGAAATTTTCAAAGAAATATAGAACACGACACATGGGAACACGTGCAAAATATATAATTTAATACGTTTATTATATCATTCATAAGAATAAATAATTATTATATGTCATGTATGTGAATATTTTTAAAGTCTAAAGGAGGAGAATAGGTATAAATTTACGTTGCTATTGTTTTGTTATTGGATTCCATGTTATTTTGTTCAAACTTATAATATGTTTATTATATAAGTGTTGGGAAGTGTCTAAGAAGTATCGTGTCATGTCGGACACAATAAGTTACCTTCTTAGAAGGGTCGATACTTCTTAGAACTTAAAAAGTTTAGAATGTTTAATGTGGATTAAATTGTTTCACTACCTTATTTTTATTGCTTTCTCCATAGTTTCCTTATTGACCACAAACCTTATGTTATTAACTGAATTACAAATTAAAATTGAAAAGAGTATCTTCAATCAATTTTTGTGCCGCCAGATAAAAATTTACTAGTTTGCAATTCTCTATTCCTAGTTGTAACCCATGACATTTATACCTATTAAATTATTTTAATAGTTATGAGAAAAATATATCAATATTTTTGGCCACCATTACATTAAAGATATATTGATTGATCAAAGTTGGTGGCCATGGCCCCACCCAAATTTGAAAGTCTGTAGATTGCATTTTATGCCCTCAGTCCATCTCAAGCTAAGAAGCAGGGACACGGACACATGACATGGCACAAACACGGCGACACGCAAATTTTCAAAAAATGTAAGACACGACATGTGGGGACACATGCAAAATATATAATTTTTTATATTTATTATACATTATATGAAAGGATAAATAATTACTATATGTCATATATATTAATATTTAACTCAAAAATAAAAAACGAAGAAGAATACGTATAAATTTATATATATATATTTTTTTTTTTTGGATAAATATATAAATTTACATTGTTTTAGTTTATCATTGAATTCCAAGTTACTTCATTTAAACTTTTAACGTGTTTATTGTGTGTCCAAATGTTGGGAAGTGTCTGACTTGTGTTGCGTCGTGTCAGGGTCCGTGTTGATGTCGGTGTCAATGTGGAACACGACACGTTACTTCCACAGAAGTGTCGGTTCTTCTTAGATCTTAAGAATTTAGAATGTGCAATGTGAATTTAATTGTTTCACAGCCTTATTTTTATTATTTTCCCTATATTTTCTTTAATAACCACAAATCTTATGTCATCAACCGAATTACAAATTAAAATCGAAAAAAGTATCTACAATCAATTTTTTGCGTCGTTTGATAAAAATTACAAGTTTGCAATCCCTATTCTTAGCTATAACCCATGATACTTATGCCTATTAAATTATTTTAATAGTTACGAGAAAAATATATTAATACTTTTGGCCACCTTTACATTAAATGCATATTGATTGACCAAAGTTGATGGCTATGGGCCCACCCAAATTTAAAAATTTGTGGATTGCATTTTATGCTCTGTCCATCTTAATTAAGCTAAGAAGCATGGACACAAAAATGTGACACAACACGAAAACGCCGACACGCAAGTTTTCAAAATATGTAGGACACACACTTGGGGGACACATGCAAAATATATAATTTCATATATTGATAAGGATAAATGATTGTTATATGTCATGTATATGAATATTTAGCTCAAAGATAATAAGTTCTAAAGTCTAAAGGATGAGAATAGGTATAAATATACATTGCTTCTATTTTATCATTGAATTTTAAGTTATAATATTCAAATTTGTAATGTATTTGGAGTGTCTCTTAGTGTTGGAAAGTGTCCAACGAGTGTCATGTCAAACACGTTGTCAGACACTGCACATTACCTTCTTAGAAGTGTCGGTGTTTCTTAGCTTACTGCCATCCACTAATTTCAAATACCCTATATGGAAGTGTTTTCAATTCAAATACTAACCAAATGAGCACTACCTGATTTTTGAGATAAACTCGAAGCCTTATCCATTCACTTTGTATCAATACTTACGTATGCCCAGGAAAACATAATAGTATTGATTTAATTTCTTCTTTTTCTAAACCCTAACAATATATAAACTTCAGGCACAATACAAGTAATACAACATACCAGTGAAATCACAAGCTGATTTTGGCTTAATAACGCCAGTATTCGGTCGCACGCAATACTTCTTCGGAGATGTAGTTTTAATCTGCCAATTACATCAGTATGTTATATAGCTACCCAACTTTCAAATTTGCAAATGCAATGTTTCAGCAGTAAATACTTTTATGAACAAAATGTGTGTGTACCTTGAAAGCAACATGGTCGTGGGATTTATTGACTAGTCGAACAGAGCAAGAGGATTGCTTCTTCAATTCAACTATAAAAGACAATGAATATTACACAAACATATTAGGCTATTATTAGCTGTTGTTCGTAAATCCAATTTGTTCTTTCAGTTTTAATATTTTCCTTATACCCCATGACTCTAAAGCCTCACCAGGGTATAACAAGTAATAAAACAATAGGAATAAAAAAGCGATTTTCTAAAACAGGGAAAACAGAGGAGCATGAGTGCTAACCATCAATAATATATGAATTCAGATTTTGCAAGGCCGGTAAATGTAGTTCCCTCAGTACCAATATAAAATCAGTTGCATTCATGTATACCTTTGTTTGATATAATAATAATAATAATAATAATAATAATATGTGCTAGCATTCACAATATCAAAGGTATGTATGTAGTACTAAAAGGGTAAAATTAATGGCTAATCAGACGATCAAGATTCATCAACTCACATATGAACTTGAGTTCTCGGGGTTGAATTTCTAAAAGCCCAGCACTCATTTTTCTCCTTCACAGAATCCTAAAAAACCCTTTTAGCATCCAAAACTACACAGTACATCTCATAACCTGCAAATTCATACAAAATAATAATAATAATAAAAATAGAAGTCTCAGAAACAGTCCATTTACAATCACAGATCTAAAAAAAGAAACGAGGGGTTACAAGATTGACCAACTACTACTTCAAAAGCCCATCAAAAACCAAAAAAAAATTCCTTTTTCGGTATTAACCAAACCAAACCAAACTCAGTAAAAATCCATAATCAAATAAAGTTTCTCAACTCAGATAGTTCAAGAACAAACAGAGTAGACGAAGACCTGGTCAAAAGAAAAACATAAAGAAAAAGAAAAAGAAAAAGAAAGCTTACTGGAACAGAGTCTGGGATTGGAGAAGAAGACTAATGTGTAAGAAATGGAACTTCATTGAATTGAATAGCGTGAATCTTACGTTTCGGTTGTTGATCGAATATATAGGTATATAGATATAGATGTATGTATATGTAGCGTGTGAAACGTCGTTGGCCTTGGTTGAATCGGTAGAATGAGAAACCCTAGAATATATCTGTAGAGAGAGAAACAAGGAGAGGTTTTTAGAGAGAGAGAGAGAGAGGCAGAGAGGGGGAATTTGTTTGCTTATCTGGAAAATTGCTGGAAACTGTGAAGCAATGAATGGACTTTCTTCCAAGAGAGCTTTTGATGTTAGTTTGTCTATTGACTAATGACACGCATACAGAGAGAGAGAGAGAGAATCTGAGACGGTTGTATTGTATCAGCCGTTTTCAGTTGACTCGGCTCAGACCAACATATCCTTTTCGGCTCGGCTTGGGGATTATTTGGCTGAATAGTGGATAACCAAATCACGTTTTGGACGGTTTGAGGAGAATTGAAGAATATTATCAATTATCAAATATTTATATAATATATGATAATTTAAATAATATTTTTCATATATAATAATATATGATAATTTAAATAATATTTTTCATATATAACTATTAATATATAATGATAAATTTTATATTTTAAATCTCTCTCATATTCATTTTTATTTTAATATTTCATTAGAGATTACAAAAATATATATGTATTACTTATAACGGAACAGAACAGTTTCTAAAATAAATTATAAAATTTAAAATTTAATACATGGTTAGCAAATAAAACGGTATGAATTGGTGTAGATCGGTATAATTTTAGTGGATTGAGCGATATTTTGCATCTTACTTATAATCTATCTATTTTGTTAGTATATTATTGTATATTAGTATATTAGTGTTAGCATCTTTAGTATATTATGTACATCTAGTAGTGTTAGTCATAATTGTTAGTGTATCATTATGTCTAGCTTTCATAATGAGTATTCCCCCTTTGTTTTATGCTTTCGGTGCTAATTGGCACCCTATGTATCTTTTCCTCTCTATAAAAGAGAGTGCACATCTCCTTGTAATATATACAATAACATACAACAATCAATAATAGATACAATATTCTCTGTATTTCTCTCTTTATACATTGAATTTAACATATTTATCTATCTTCTACATTGTTGTAAAGACAAATTTTCTTTTAGTATTTATGTCTCATATTTTAAATTGTTGAAAAATACTTCTACTCTAATTATATGGGCAGTTATACCATTTTTTTTTTTTCCAAATCTCTTTACTTTTGAATTTTCCAAATTCATTCTAATTTTCATATTTTAAATTCAATTATCTATTGTGATATTAGTTACGATTTATTATGGTGTTAATTATGACTTATTGTAATGTTAATTATGAAATAATTTTTATTATGATCCAAGAAATGTTTATTTATATCTTATGTGGTATTTGGTTAAAACTCATTATATATATATATATATATATGGCCAAGTTTGGGAAGTCCCAAATAATCCATCTTTTTATCTTTTTATCTTTTTTCCATCACATCACCTCTCTACTTTTCTGCACATCTTTTCGTAAAAAGACAAAAAGTACACTTATTTGGGTCGTCCCAAACAACCCCATTTTCTATGACTAAAAATGAGAAGGAAATTTATTTTTGAGAAGGAAAGTGAAGATGATTTTGTGGTGTCACATAAGGAGTTATCCCAAACTTTTTTTCAAGATGTTTCAAACAAAATTGATATTGAATATAAAATTTTATTTTATTTTTTTAAAAAATGTGAATAAAATGATTTTTTGATAAATTAAAATACTAAAACAATATTTATTTTTATTTTTTTTTGCAAGTGTAAGTGCTCGAAACTGCTGAACATAGTTTTAGATGGATAGACCTCGAAAAAATACACAGAAAAAAAAATTGTTAAAAATGGACTATTGAGTGCAAAATTATGACATGTTAATATTTTAACAGCATAAACTTTTCAGGTGCCTATCTGGACGAATTCATGTATATTTGTCCAAATTAGGAGACAAACAAGTCAAAATAATTTCCACACATAATTTTAAGTTAAATAATTTGGACACATAATTTGAATTCATGTATATTTGTCCAAATTACAAGAAAAATAAGCCAAAATAATCTGGGCACATAATTTTAAGTTAAAATAATTTGGACACATAATTTAAATAGATAAGTAAAAATACTCCGGCAGGTAAATTAAAAATCTTTTGGACAAATAAATAAAAATAATTTAGATTTAAAAATATTTGGACAAATTATTAAGGTAGTCCTGTACTTTGGTCTTTGTGTCATTTTAGCCCCTCTAATTTCAATTAACTCGATTTTGATCTTGAATTTAAGACTGACTCAATTTGATCAAATTAATTAAAACTCTTAGCATTTTTTTTATGAAAAATATGCACATAAGTGTCATGTGCTATATTTTTAAGGGCAAAATTATAAATTTACTCAACTCAGTGAGTTAATCTCAACCAATTTAATGATAATTTTTCCTAAAAAAACACTAACGGCATTACTAATTGGACTAAATTGCCGTCAAATCTAGAATTAAAATTGAGTCAATTAAAAGTGTAGGGATCAAAATGATACAAGAGATAAATTATAGGAATCAACGGTGTAATTTGCTCAAAATATTTTGACAAATACATTAGAATAATTTAGACATATACGTTAAAAATATTGAGACAACTATGTTAAAATAATTTGAACAGATAGAAAAAAAAAATAATATAACACAACTTAGACAAATAAGTTCAAAATATAGGGACAAATAGATTTTTTTTAAAAAAAATTGGGCAGATAGGTATGTTATACAAAAAAATAAAATAAAATCATCATTTATGATGTTAAAATTTTAATACGAGTAGTGATACATAACTTTAAAATTGTAACTTTAATGGGAACTCTAATGAGGTAGAAGAGAGAGAGGAACAGAGAGGAGTGTAGGCTCCATATCATATAGGCACTCTCCACATCATTAGAGCTCTTAAATTAGAACTCTTAAATATTATTATTTTAATAAATTATAACTTTACGCTTTGTAATCCATTTTTGGACAAATATTTTTTCAATTTTATGTATTTCTTTTGAGATCTATACATCCGAAATTGCCCAAGGCAATTTTAAACACTTACTTTTGCAAAAAATATTGTTTCACTATTTGGATTTACCAAAAAAATCAATCTATTCACTTTGTTTTTGAAATTTCATATTTAATATTGATCTTATCTAAATTATCTTGAAAAGACAAATTCACAGATATTAATTTTGTTAAAAATAAATTTGTACAACTTGAGTTATTAAATTTTAAATTTTTTATTACAAAATAACCACAAAGAGTAAAAATGTCAAGAATTGTACTTATTAGTTGGAACTCACCAATCAAGGCATGTTTGCGTATATCTTGCTAATCAATTAAAGTCAAAGGCTGAACCTCCGTCCCAACCCATTCCATGATATTTTTCACCAATTTTTTTAATATTATTTATAAAAAAAGAAGTGTAACTTTTGCTATGTCTGTGATTATTTTTTTGAAAAAATTAGTGATAAATTCAATTTAAAGAGTGTCTAAGGTATTATATTTAATTAATATTTTTTGTTGGGGAGAAATTTACGCTTTGTGAAATAGTTAAGAAGTCCTATCAGACATTTTGTTTCTAATTTTATCCTTTAATTTTTTTATTTATTTGACTTTTTGTTGACTATCTATTTAAATTTTTTCATATTGGTTCAAATTTGTTACCTATTTGTTCAAATTTATACTCTATTTGTTCAATTTTTTACCCTATCTATTTAAATTTTTATTATTTATTGAATTTTTGCACATCTCTTTTCTCTTTCTATCTGTTGAAATCCTCATTTTTAACTTATTTGAACAGATCATATCCATTGTTCAAAAAATTATCTGTTCAATTTTTTTCTATCTGTTAAAAATATATGTTCATGAATCCACTATCTATTGGAGTCCTTTTCTGTCTCCCCTATTTGTTGAGCCATACAAATCTCATCAACAACATTCATCAACAACAGCAACAATCAAACGACAATAATCTCTTGATTACCATATCTGCATTGTTCCAGATCTTCATTGTTCGACTTCAACAGATCTGCGATAGAAAGTTCCTCTTCTTCTCTACAACTCAAATGGAGAGTGAGAGGGGAAAATATGGTCTGGATTGGGCCATGGTAATACCAGGAAAATTGTGGGCCGAACACATTTGGGCCGTCGTATCCCAAGTCCACCCAGAAGTGATTTTTGCTCGGCAATGGCAAGGGCATGTGGAACCGAGCTACTTCACCTTGTCGGCACCGAGGCTGGTCAAGTAACGGTTCCACGGTTTATGCGTTGCGCAGTTGGAAAGCACGCATCCATAGCTCGGCGTGAAGGCTCATGCCTGAAGCTCGGCAGGAAGGACTTTGGTTGACCGGTATGACTAATCTCAAGCTTGGCTTCGCCGGAACGCAGTCGAGCATGGCTGGAAAGGAGCTCGGTTGTTGGGGGCACTTGGGCATGAATCGCAGCATGGCCGGTGACAGTCGAGATGCTGTAGCCCGGCTGCTGAGCTCCCAGAAGAGTGGGTTGGTAGTCGGGTTAGGTGATGTTCAGCAAGATTTGTGCTGACAGATGGGGTAGCAGAACCACGTATCGAGAGATCACTGGGAGTAGATTTGGGGCGCAGAAGGTATATAAGCATGTCTGCGCCCCCCACGCTGAAAGAAACATTTGGTAAGGGAAATGCTTACACTCAACTCTCTCCTCACCCTCTCTATCCTCAGGTGTGTGCTAACTTGGTCGTCGGAGGGGTTTTTCGGCCACACACCGCCGGGTAGCTCACTGTTGTTGTGCACGCAGGTGATCGGACAGAAACGGAGCTTGGAAGAAAGGAATACGGACTTGCCTGAATATTTGCTCCCCGTACAATTGGCGCCGTCTGTGGGAACTTGACAAACAAAACCTTGTCTTTCAGGCTCATCTGATCGCCGTCCATGGCGAACAACGACGAGATTCCATTGTCTGTCATCGACGGAATTACCCCGGAGTCAGGCAGACGGAGAGAAGGGCATCGCACCATCGTTCTTCCGATGGCGGACCTGGAGACTTCTCCAGGAGGACATTCAAGAGATGCGCGAGATAAACGCGGAAGAAGTTATGGTCATTCACGGAGTCCAAACGGTCATCAGCGGCGGAAAGAATCACATGCCAGACTTTTGAAACACAAGTTAAAGGACCAGGACGCCGTCATCCGGCGAATGGTGACGGAGATGGAGGAGCTGAAGCGGCATGTTAGAGGGAAGGGTGTAGCTG